AATACAGTAGTTTGGTGATGGAACTCACTCAGAAGTTTCAAAATATGATTTGCCCTGCATACTGTCTGTTACTGTTGCCTTGTTTTCCATCCGACATTTTGCTGAGTCAAATTTACAGTACTCTGTCTATAATCAGCTTATATTTTTTCCACTGCATTGGCATGTATATAAAAATAAATAGTAAATCAACTATGGCTTCTGTAACAGGCAAATGGAGGGAGGGGGTTACATATACGGCTTTAATTTTTCAATTTCAGCTTCTTGGAGCCGTAAAGGCCCCTATGTCCCTCCATTTCTTGGCATCTAGTCAACATTCTAGCTATTACTAATGTCAAAACAAAATTATATTAAAGGCAATGCTTAATAGTTCAGTGTTGAAAAGAATGATGACTGGCAAAAATTATAAGCAATTATCTCTACTCACAGTACGAATCAAAACAGTGCCTGCGGAGACTAAAGTGCCACTAAACTGGAAGTACTGTCATTTTTACAACACAGAAACAGCAAAAAATTAAATAAATCAGAAATTATTTTCCTGCTATGGTTGCACAATGTGCATATACAAGAGAAACAGTTCCAGGAAGATTAAAATATATGCACTCCTTACACATAAAATTGAAAGGCAGCTCTCTTATAAATTTCAGAGATGAACCATATTACCTCAGGTCTAAATCTGTCTGTCCAGCCTATGAGCTTCACTATATTATTTCAAAGGTTGACCTATATACAGACACATACCATCCATTCTCTCTGTTTGTGTAAGAGATATCTCACACAGTTGCCATAACCAACATTATTTGCATTGTTCTTTCACTTTTCTTCCTCTGAGGTTTAGTTGGGAAAGAAACATGATCCGACACAATACACTACATCACTGCAAGGGAAAACAGAGCAATAGCCAACTAAAATGTTGAAGGACATTATTTTAAGTTTATAAAGAAAAGAATTCTGTCATAAAGAAAAACTAAGATAGGCAACAGAAAAGCAACAAAAACAAAGAGATCCACACTGTTGCATGTTATTTAAACCTTTGTCAGGGTGATTCATCATAACTAGTACAAACTGAAGTTTAGATATTATCAGGTCTAATAATAGATGTGAACTATGGTGTTATATGGCATTGCACATGCAACCTAGGATCATTTTAATAAGTCTACTTTGATGGGATTTATTTTGGTTTGGCATGACAAAGATACAGTGTTAAAATACCATAAATACTTTCAGAAGATAGGCATTCAATCCAGTCAACAAACATATAAAGGCTTACTCATATAACACATTTTAAGGCCACAATTCACTTATTCCAGACTAACCCCATAAGCTTAAAATAGGATTAATCCAAAGCAAATATATTAGCAGTTGTTTCTATGCGAAATAAACATGCCAGATTGAAGTTTTTCTTGCAGTCCCTAACTACCACGAAAGTACAGGAAAAAAGTAACACAGAAGCTATAATTCTAGAAAAAGTCCCAAGGATTTCAAAGAAGGCTTGCCTGTCATAAGTACACCATGTTCTAGCATATGGGGTGGAATGTACATCTATACTCATCACATTTGCTGGAGGAGATGCAGTATTTTGAAGAAGTTCTGCAAGACTAGTTCAGGAAAACAGAGTATTTTTTTACAGCCAGGAACAAGAAATTATGGCTTCCTAATACCATTCATTGGCCTAGATAGATGGGGCTGAGGGAACAGAGGAAAATGAGATGTTCACTCAACACATGCCTCATAGGGGCCCAGCAAGCAAAGCTACTCAAGTCCATTTACTATAATCAATGGTCATTGGCAGAGTTGCTTGACAGAGATATGCATTGCTTGAAGAATGTTGTCTTGTGAGAAACATTTCTGGTATGTCACTCCTGAGCTGGGGGGGAGGGGACTCTTACAAAGGTGCATTTCTGAAATCTATTATCAGTCCTGGCTAAACTAAACAGAGTGCTTTATTTGCACAGTCAAAGAAAAGTTTGCTCCTTCTTTATCACTGACACAACTAGCTCCTAAAACAAGAAAAAAGAAAAACCTGTATGGGAAACAGGGGGGGCTAGGCTTTGCAATTACTTTATTCAATCAGGAGTTACACCCACCCAGAATGATTTAAGGCATTTAATTGGAAAATGATTTAACTTATTAACGCAATTCCTGATTTTCCAAAGCATTTAACTTTTAAATTAAATCTGGCCTACCATCTTGAGTATGATGAGTAAAATGTGTATTCAAGTCATTACCTTCTTCTTCTTTTTTAAGCTTTAAATCAAGGATAGATTTAATAACTATTTGTCCAGTTTTCATTGCCAAATGGCTCTTTGGGCACTTTGGTACTTATGTCATTAATTCTACCCAGTGCTGCTTTACTTTTCAATGTGACAGGCTTACAATTCACAATAAAAGATAATAGCGATCATATTTTACAGTGGCAAGTCACAGAATAAAAGTAGTTCTGCAATAATATTTGCTGAGTACTGAAACAGCCTCAGCTGACAAACTGTCTGGCATATCTGGGCAGGGAAGGTGACTCTTGATATTCAAATTCTGTGCCTCTTTCTCCTTTTCCATACCTAGAGAAACTTTTGTGCTATGTTATGCACCGTCAGATTCAAATTGACTTACAGGGACCCTAAGAGAGCTTTCAAGGTAAGTGAGATATTTAAGAAGTGGCTTTACCATTTCGAAGCTGGTTAGACAGCTCTGTTAGTTAAGTATGGTTGGGAGTTCAATATCTCACTATGTTCTCCAGGAAGAGCAGCCAGCTTGTGTAGCCATGGGCAAACTGCACCGTCCCAGGATGCCCCTCGAAGAAGAGAATAGTAAACCGCTTTGGAGTACTCCCTACCTAGAAAGCCCTCAAAGCGGCTGCCATAAGTCAGAACTGACATAACAACACACAATTATTATTTATCAGTTCCATGGCACAAGTGAACTTCCATGGCTGAGCAGAGATTTGAACCCTGGCCTCCCAAGTCCTAGGCCATAATTCTACCCACAACAACACCCTGAGTGTCTCCTAAGAAACTTTTACAGGCAAGGATTTATTTAATCACACCCAAAGGGACTGGCATTGCCATCCAGATTATTAGGGCATACAAAACCTATCTATGGGATTTCTTGTAATGCTGCTGTCAGGATCCACACTCATGATGTCAGAAGAACACTGCGAGTTGCATATCTTTATCAGGGAGCAGAAATGAATTCAATACATCATTAAGGACAGAAGAGATCATGCTAAAAATTTCCTGAAAAATGAAGAGAGGTATCTGAAGTTGAAAGAGTTTGTTTTCTCAAAATACATAACATGGCAAAACACTGTGTTTACATCACTATATGTGGGTCTACTTTGATCAGAGTATCTAAAATAGCCCATAAAGCACGCATGATGAATGACAAAACACAACAGTAGGGTTTCTCTTCACCCCACCTCTTTTTCACAGAAAGGAGCAGAGCATCTTTAGTTACTCTAATGTAATCACCAAGAACAGAATCATCAAAAATAAGAAAATGCCCAGTGTTGATTGTAGAGAGGAGCAGTTTATAGGGCATCAAAGAAGCAAAACAAAAGATAGGACAGCTGGTGCAGGCTGCAAAATTGCCTGCCTTAAACAAAAGCTTAACAGGCATCCAGATTTAAACAAATCACACAACTAAGGCTCGCTCACATTTCTGTCGAAAGTCTTCCTCCACTCTCACCCCCACCCTGCACACACAGCACTACCTCATGGGCTGTGCTCTGGAAAGCTTGAACTTCCTGGTTATTTTCTATAACCAATGCTGCCCATTTCGCAAAACTGAAGGTGGGGGGGAAGAATAAACTGCACATTATGCATACTAGAGCAGTCAACTAAAGAAAGAAAGAAAGAAAGAAAGAAAGAAAGAAAGAAAGAAAGAAAGAAAGAAAGAAAGAAAGAAAGAAAGAAAGAAAGAAAGAAAGAAAATCAGTATAAAATAAACCACCCACGACAGTTGTTCTTATTTGTTTGTGGACAGTTCGGTGAACACCATCACAGCAACAAACCAATCAGAAGAATCCCCTTTTGGGTGTACTCCTCGGCAGACTCATTCAACTCAGTGGGGCTTACTTCTGAGTAGAAACAGCCAGGATCGCGTTGCTAGAGCACTTCTAACCGTCCCCTCTTTCTCTGCCCCCTGTTTTGAAAAATTCCTCCCCTCTCTCTCCTCCTGCAGAATGCAGGGAAAACGTTCTCTTATGGCCCTTCACTGAATTTCTACGCGGGTGAATCGAATTATGGGGAAACCGATGTGGTTTGGTGATGCTCCGCGTAATTCCGCCGGTGCTCCCGTTGACTTGTCATCCTTCTGATTTGAAATTCCCACAGTCCCATTCCCAGAAAACTTCCCAAGCGGGAGCTTTGGCGAGGATCTGACACACCGACCGGCATGTTAAAAACAACGCATTTCACTCCTCGAAAGCCACTCTAAAAGGAGCCTAATGGGGGGGCGGGGGGGGGAGGCAGTAGAAAAGAAGCGGATTTAAATCTCCCGCATAAGCAACCAAAGCGTGCCGAACTACTACTTTAAGGGAGACTTTCAGCCGAGGAACACTTGTGATTCCAGTCCCTTGGCCCGCCGCCTCCCCCGAGCACCACGGGGCTTACTCGCGAGTAAGGCCGGCGACGCAGGGGAGAGCTGTGCCCTCCCCTCTCTGACCCCACCTCCTCGGAGAATTCCAGGGTTATGTTTTAAAAGGCATCCAAAGAGAGACGGGCCACATCGGGTCCTCGCCTCCCTGGGGGGGGGGTTCGCTCCCGCCCGCCTACAACCTAAGCAGCGAGCCTGGGCTCCCACCTCCCACGAAAACGCCCGCACAAAACGCGGCGGGCGCCTCTTCCTTCCCTCGAGCCCCAAGGGTGCAACCTGCCCAGCCTGAAGGCTCCCTCTCGCTCTCGCTCTCGCATTCAAAACTACAGCCTTCTGCAAGCCCATCCAGCCCCTTTCGAGGAAAAGAGAGACAGAGACAGAGAGAGAGAGAAAGCAAAACGCACAATCACCTTGTGGCAATAATAGGGGTCCAAGCACGGAGAAGGTCCCAGGCAAGGGGTCTCCGGAGCGGCCGCGGACTGGGATGGTGGTGGTGGAGGAGGAGGAGGCGAGTAAAATCTTACGTCCATTGCACTAAAACATCAGCAAACTCCGGGTCTTTCCTCTTTTGTGTTTATGTTGATGCAAAAAAGAAGGGAAAAAAAGCCAGAGAGCGAGCTGGTGGGGAGGGGAGGGAGGCACCCCCCAAGCAGCGCCCGAGAAGACCGAGGTGCCCGAGTTGAGGAGCAGCAGCAGCAGCAGCAGCCAAAAGCGACGAGAAACACCTTCCCTGCCTCACATCCGTTTGCGGTCGGTGCAAGAGAAGAAAGAGAGGAGGGGAGCGAAACTCTCCCGAAGAGCCCCGGGTCCTGCGCGCAGCCCGAGGCCGGCGAGGGACGCGGCGAAGGGTTCCTCTCACGGCCGGGCAGGTAACTTCGAGGAGTTCTCTCGGGGCCCCCCAACGCGACTTGCCAAAGCTCCGGGCATGGGGCTCCGACGCTCGCTCGCTCGCTCGGGGGCGGTCGCCTCTCTGCTCCTTCCCCGCCTGCCTGCCTGCCTCTCTCTCTCGCTCCCTCGCCCGCCCGCTCGGCCGGCCGGCCGCCCTCTTTTTTCGACGGCTTCCTTTCGGAGCTCTTCCTCGTCTTCCCCCACCTCGAAGAGTCAAGACCAGAGCGAGCCGAAAGCTCCCGTCGAGCCGTCCGGAGGGGAAGTGAAGCCGGGCTCCGGCTCGGGAAAGGCTACCCCGCGTCGCCGGCTGGCCGGCTGGAGGAGAGGGACTCGCCGTGCGCCGCTGCCGCCGGGCTCCGAGTGTGCTTCACACAAAGGAGCTCGCGATTCCAGAGCCATTTGCGGCTGGCCGCGGAGCGCGCGGCGGGGGAAGCGCAGACAGGGGGCGCTGTGGCCTCCGCCCGCCACCATCCAGACCCCCTGCCAGTTACTATGGTACCATCGCAGCAGCAGAGTGCTCCTTGTAGGAAGCAGGGAAGGGAAGGCAGGGGAAGAGCGGGCGAACAGGAGAGAAAAGGAGGGAAGGCTTAAGTTTCGGGAGAGTTCTGAGCTAGACCAGATTCCCATCAACTGCTCGCGGCTTCTTGGCTCAGTGCCCGTACAGTGAAAGAAGGGAGAGCCATTTGAGCATGTGCAAAGTGTAATTTCTATACCACTCAGGTAATTTCAATTACCTGAGTAATTGTGCCCCATGTGCAGTTCCTAAAATCTGCAGTTGGGACGATCAGGCCATGGGAATTACATTAAAAATTAAACTGGCTGTGGTGGAGAGTGAGAAGACCCATGGTAGAAATATTTAGCAGATATAAAATAAATAACATATGTGACTGGCAGGTACAGTTTTTTGTTTTTATTATTCTTTTAAAAGGCAATGGAAATGAAAAAAAAGGTTCAGATGTAGTGACTAGTGTGCAGACACAGGTGTAGGAAAAGGACTACACGGATTTGGAGAGATGGGAAGCCTTACACAGCCTGTTCTGCTGGGTGGGGGTTGTAGGAATGCAGCTGCTCATGCCTTGCGTCCCTCTGGAGCAGCTTTAAAAATTCAAGATTTGAGTATGGATTTTATATTGACATCTCTGCAGCACAGGAGTCCTGGCTCATTAGGGACCAAGTCATAGATCAGAGCTGTTGAATGAGTCCCTGTGTCTCAGGTAGGCCTGCCAACAGCAATTCCTGGTGGTCTGTTACTGCTTTCAGAAAGATCTAGGCCCCTTTCCCCCCTTGGTCCTCTTCCCTTCCCGTCTAGACTTAAGAGGACAGATGGTACTGAACAGGTACTGCTCCTTTTGCTGCCTGCCATGGTAGGCAAATAAATGATGGTATGAAAGAGACACCACTCCCCCTCACTTACTTGCCACCTGTGTTTGGACAATGGTAGGGAGTGCCTTCAGCATCACTGCCAAGAGGGAGCCGGCAGGTGAGCAACACCTGTTGTGGTTTCTTTGTTTGTCTACCCTAGTTAGCAAGAATTTGGAAGCATTCATTTTAAGATATTTCTCCAGCCACCTGCCATGACCCTACTGGCTGGCAGATTTTGGGAGCTGTAGTCCAAAAAGCCTTTTTGACTTCTGCAACTGAGTGAGCAGCAGTGGCAGGAAATGGCTTCCTGCTCCCTTCAACTTCTTCTGTGTCTCCCTCAGAGAATCAGAGTTTGTTGTATTTGTCCTACTGCTGAGTGCATCTGTACTACACAATTATATTTGTTTGATATCACTTTAATTGTCATGGCTCCATCCTATAGAAGCTTGAGACTTTTGTTTTGGAGAGCTACAGAGCTCTAATGCTGTGGTTCAGAAGAGTATCTGAGCTCCTTCTAAGAGAGCATTTTAAGTATCTCACCAAAGGACATATCTCAGGACTTTATTTTATTTTATTTAAAACATTTTTACCTTGGCTTTCCCCTTAATAAGGAACCAAAGTGGCTCACATCATTAAAACACGATACTGTATTTAAAAGCTAAAAATGGTAAGTATACAAATATTTTAAAAAAACCAAACACCACACTAAAAGTTGTAAACACAACACTCCATTAAAAACCCTCTCATACAGTTGTGTGTGCCCCACCAAACACACCTATAAAGGTGATGATATTAAGAGGAAGGACTTCACCAGGTTCGTGAAGGGAGATGTCTTTGAGATAGTTTGGAGCCAAGCCATTTAGAGTCCAGAATTGTGCCCAGAACTGGATCAGCAGGCAGTGGAGCTGCTGTAACGGGGTTATGTGATTTCTGTAACCAGCCCCAGTTCAAAATCTGGCTGCAGTGTTCGGACCTACTGAAGTTTCTGAGCACTTTCGAAAGGCAGGCCTATGTAGAGTGTGTTACCGTATTTCTTAGGATGGAACCATGGCAATTAAAATGGTATCAAACTTAAAATTGTGTACTGTAGATACATAAAGAGGAAGAATGGATCCTAGTAAGTGCCCAGATTGCATGCTCATGCACACACATGCATGCATGCATGTGCGCACACACATACAGAAGGCCTGTTCAGTCATGCTGGAACCATTGACACAATTACTGGGAACAGGCCACCCCTTCCGTATTTGCTTTGCTCATGTGAGCAACAAAATAAAATAAATGCTTTATTACGGTCATTGACCAGCAAAAGTAAGGAACATTATTTAAATTAGGAGACATAAAATCAATCTAAAAACACTAAAAACATCTATATATAACTACATTCATACATCTTATTAAATATCTCCTGCCTCCATATCATAGGCCTTATCTATGGGCTATTGCAGCTTGCATAGAATGACAGAATTGTTACTTTGGAGCTCATTGAGCCCGTGTGATCATTATACCAAATTGGTATACACCAATTTACAGATATTATAGCTGCGCTTTAAGTTCCTACCTATAATGGTGTGAAGCAAGGGTGTATATTAGCTCCATTGTTATTTAATTTTTATATCAACTCAGTGGTAACGGCAGTCAGCCACCCAGAGTTCCATCTCCCCAAACTAGCCAGTAGACATATATCCCTTTTGTTATATGCAGATGATGCAGTCCTAATTTAAACCAAACACCACACTAAAAGTTGTAAACACAACACTCCATTAAAAACCCTCTCATACAGTTGTGTGTGCCCCACCAAACACACCTATAAAGGTGATGATATTAAGAGGAAGGACTTCACCAGGTTCGTGAAGGGAGATGTCTTTGAGATAGTTTGGAGCCAAGCCATTTAGAGTCCAGAATTGTGCCCAGAACTGGATCAGCAGGCAGTGGAGCTGCTGTAACGGGGTTATGTGATTTCTGTAACCAGCCCCAGTTCAAAATCTGGCTGCAGTGTTCGGACCTACTGAAGTTTCTGAGCACTTTCGAAAGGCAGGCCTATGTAGAGTGTGTTACCGTATTTCTTAGGATGGAACCATGGCAATTAAAATGGTATCAAACTTAAAATTGTGTACTGTAGATACATAAAGAGGAAGAATGGATCTTAGTAAGTGCCCAGATTGCATGCTCATGCACACACATGCATGCATGCATGTGCGCACACACATACAGAAGGCCTGTTCACATACAGAATGGCCGCCGGAGCGAAAACATCGCTGGAGTCATGCTGGAACCATTGACACAATTACTGGGAACAGGCCACCCCTTCCGTATTTGCTTTGCTCATGTGAGCAACAAAATAAAATAAATGCTTTATTACGGTCATTGACCAGCAAAAGTAAGGAACATTATTTAAATTAGGAGACATAAAATCAATCTAAAAACACTAAAAACATCTATATATAACTACATTCATACATCTTATTAAATATCTCCTGCCTCCATATCATAGGCCTTATCTATGGGCTATTGCAGCTTGCATAGAATGACAGAATTGTTACTTTGGAGCTCATTGAGCCCGTGTGATCATTATACCAAATTGGTATACACCAATTTACAGATATTATAGCTGCGCTTTAAGTTCCTACCTATAATGGTGTGAAGCAAGGGTGTATATTAGCTCCATTGTTATTTAATTTTTATATCAACTCAGTGGTAACGGCAGTCAGCCACCCAGAGTTCCATCTCCCCAAACTAGCCAGTAGACATATATCCCTTTTGTTATATGCAGATGATGCAGTCCTAATTTCACAGAGACTACTAGGACTAAAGAGAGCATTGCGCGCTCTTGCGCAATACTGTAAAGAGGAAATGCTACGGATAAATTACCCAAAGACCAAAGTTTTAGTGTTCACTCAGAGGCCCAGAATCTATAAGTGGTTAATTGATGAGCATGAGATAGAACAAATTAAGCCTTATAAATATTTGGGTGTCATCTTTCAATATAAAGGAAACCACATGGCCCATGTTAACAATGTGATACAAGCAGCACAAAAATCTAGCGTTGCCATACTAAAATTCTTCTATTCAAAGGGAAGTCAGTACATACCAGCTGCACTAAGATTGTTTCCGGCCAAAGCCCTTAGTCAGCTCTTGTATGGGGCACAATTGGGCCCCTATTCTTCATTTATCCAGTTAGAAGTAGTTCAATCTAAATTCGCAAGGGCTATCTTACAAGTTCCAAGAGGGGTATCCAGTGCAGCCCTTAGGCTTGAAGTGGGCTACCTGAAGGTTGAAGCTAGAGCTTGGCTGGCTATTTTTAACTTTTGGCTAAAACTAACCTTTCAGCAACAAAATGTCTGAAAAGAAGGGTCCAACTCTACATGTGTGCAAGAACCCACATTTTCCAGACAGGAATCTATTCCCCCCCCACCCCGAAGTCATGCTTGTGTGTAAAGCCTGTACATGAGAGGAAGCTTTCTTTGGATCTCTTGCTGCTAAAGTGAGCAAAGGAGGGGTTGGGGTTAGGCACCACTCTCTGCCTGTGTTAATATGCCAGACTTCAGAACAACAGAATAGGGTAAGACAGGAGGAAACTGAGGCGCTCAGTCATTTGCATGGCCACTGCCTGCTCAGTTATTCTCTTCTCTGGGCAACCAGGAAGATGAGGCCCAGTGTTCCCAGTCCCAACCAACATACCACCCAGAGAAACCATACCAACAAAATGACTGAGAAAAAACACACTGCTGCCTCTTGCAACAGACACTACTTTTGTCCAGTAATGGGAACAACAGGGCCTAGGAGGCCCAATTCCAAGTAACACTTTTTGGATTTCATCTCCTTCCATCTCTCTGTTTCTCCCTCTCTCAAGCACACAGGAATGGCACCCGGAACTACACACGTGTTCTAGTCTCTGAGAGACAAAGGAAAACCCTTCTTTGGTTGGATGGGCATGTACCATCACAGGGCTGGGTTGACGCAGGTCCTTTCCACCTCTTGAGGCTACTTACTAACCATCATTCCTCCCTCTGCCTTTTCAAACTGCTCATGTTGTTGTTTTACTAGTGTGGCATTGGAAACGTTTTTTATTTCAGCTGCCCTGTGATTGAATTATCC